GACTGCTCCATGTGTGAAAACCCTCGTAAATCATTTAGCGTAACCAACCAACAGAGCGTCGCCCATCGGTTTCAGTTCACTGAAGCATCGGCAATTAGGCGGCTGAAACCTAGTTTATGTAAACAGACAGCGTTTGTCGCCAGTCTAGCACTGCCTCGGTGAGGCTGGTGGCCACATTCCTCTAGGCGGAGTGCCGGCCAGCATCCGATGAACTTTGACCGTAGCCCACTTTGATGGAAGGACTCTCGGCTGGGTCTTATGCATTGATCATGCAGCAAATCATCGACGTCAATGGGAACCAGTATCTATGATATATGTATATGAACATGTACAATGTTGCCTAAGTTAGGTGGAACGGCGTGTGTCAGGTCTTCGTATTATCGGTAACTCTCGATGTACTGTATAACGACCGGTTAACGACACATGGTCTATCATTGCAGCGAGAACCCACTGTAATCGCAGTTTACATTAACTATCGCTATCCCCTAGCGAAGCTTCGCAACGCCAGAGTCAATTCCAACTGACGGTCATGATGTAGCGCACTCGGGGTGGTCCCATATAGTCTTTGAAGGAACGTATAAGTAAACGTTAACAAGTAATATATCCGTGGTGTTAAACGGGTTACAGATCGAGTAGGTGAAAAGCACGTGTATAGTTATTTCGTACATGTTGCACCATTTGTTTATCGTGGTGCAGCGTCACGCAGGCACGTACATTTTAACAACTTGCTCCAAGAACTGCGTCCTCCACTCAGTCTTGCTCAGTACGCCATCCGGATCCCCTCGGATCATTTCGGAACATCGCCGCCTCATGGGTTGTTTAACATAGACCTTAACGATACTCCAAATACCTTCGATTGCATTCCGTTGTGGATAGTACGCTGCCGGTCGCAGAAGTGCTCCTGAGCTGTAAGGCTTCTCTTAGAAGATACTCTCCAGATCGGTGTAACAGGGTGCGTTATAACAAATAAGGAGACAACTTTTTGCGAAATGGATGACTTTGATGTCAAGCAGTAGTCGCAACCACCGCGCACATCTCACTTTAGTAGACCACCCTCTAATGACAGAATATCTGAGCCATCCATCCTCATTCATCGCACTGATCAGATGAAGATTTTGTCCCCGGGTTCCAAGTGCTGAAAGTCCGCTTGTGCGAACGCAGAATAGATTAAAGTTTGTCTCATCTATCCATACTGCTCGCCGTCCTTCTACCTCCAAGTTCATCAACTTCAAAACGTAAGCCTTCCTTAGCCTTTTCCTCTCCATCGTATTCATGGGGTCCGGTATTGCATGTAATTCCTTCGTTGTCATGAGTCTACCGTCTACGTAACGGGCGATTGTGCTGACGCTGACGTCCACCTCGAACTCCAGCTTCCGCCGTCACCGAAGAGTTTCCAAGGTAAACGTAGGGTCCGCTTCCACCTACTCCATCAGGCAATCCACGTGACTATCTGACAGACACCATCGACGCAACACGCTAGGAGCTCTTGTCGGCTCATTCAATCCCAATGTTCTAATCCACATTCTACATGTCTGTACATTTACCTGTAACATAGATGCAATGCCCTTCCAGTCATTGCCCGCTTCATTTGTTTACATAATTAGAGCCTTTACGTCGGACGAATGTTGGGCGTACCTTCTACTTCTTCCCATTGCGCGTAATTTGAGTTAAAGACTAAAAGAACTATATAAATCAAACTAGAGATAAACATGGTAGGTGAACTAGGAGGAAGATTTGCCGTTCGTTTTGCCCACTGCGTGGGGTTCCCGTGCAACCCGACTGGGAGAAAGCAGAAGTGACAACTCCGCTGACTAGAGACGGTCTATCGGAACCATATGGGCGTTTCCACTTATACGTCAGACGCATGAAATCACCTTGACATTTTGGAACTAAATTTCCACCCCCCGTATACCAAGCGGGTGTGATCTCCGCCGTTTGTCGTGCTGGCTGGCACGTTGTCCCGCCCAGGTCATTGTGCGTAATGCCCCCGAAATTTTTGCACAACTCATACAACTCACACGTACGGACACGTACATAAGGTCTCTCATGCGAGGCAGCCTGACATTTGGGCACCGCTCACATCATGCCCATGGCTATCATGCAGTGCGATCTGAATGAAATTTAGATGGGTATTGGATGAAATTTCATCCGCGTTACGGATGGAAGCTAATGATTGACGGATTAAACAGTTCGCCTCTGTATTTTGCTCTTTTCAAGTAGCGACAGCAGACGCTGAAATCCTGGGTTTTGCGATAGGAGCAACGCTTGTGACGCACTTAACATTCATTGAATAATTGTGTTTATCTGTATGAAAATTCAAAGCGTGGGCAATTTTTATTGGGCCTATATTTATATTTTATGTGGTGGCCTGCGAATATTATAAATTAGTAAAGAAAGCAGGGAATACGTTTACCAGGAAAGTGGGTGAATATTACTCGACTTTCAGGACGTTTACTTATTTGTACTGCCATTTGGGGTCGGCACTATTGCTTAGCTTTAAATGGACAACATAATATATTAAAATGTATAAGCGTCTGATGCACGGGCTGATTACTCAGGCTCGCCAAATTGCAACGCGCACGAAGAGCCATCTAAAACTCCATGCAGCTGTACTACAAATCAGATGATGCCACGCGTGGGCCTTCTGGTGGCGCGTATGAATGCACTAAAGGCGTACTTCAGCAGTTTATTTAAGTCGCCTAATCAAAATATCGGATGATGATTCTTTTACACTTGTACGATTTGAACTCTGCTAAAACACAGTAATCTCCAGACGATTAGTTATTGGCTCTAATGTTGCCAAGTGACAGATTACAGTGCTAACCGAAGCATATGAATTCTGGTGCCCACGCACCTTACTTATGCAACATGAAAAGTCGTCATTGCATAATCACATATAAAAGGAAGAAAGTGTATCTTTTACAGTAAGCAAGTATATAGTAAAAAAGACATATCATGAAAGGACCTTTTTTAACAAGAGATGGAGCAGTGGCGTAGGTTGCAGTCAAGGGTAGTATGTCTCGGGGCGGCAAGTGATATTAGGCGACATTTTTTTACCTTCGACTTTCGATACTAAATGTAAAGGGCAAAATATCCAGATAGGTTATGGGTTGCACATTTTATTGTTACTTTGCAGGCCAACAACGTATCTGTGCACTATGTCATACTTGTGCGCAAGCTCTTCCCAGTAATGCCCTTTGTTGTCCCATGGTGGTCACTTTTGCCACATTTACCCCTGTGTCCCAAATGATAATCCATTTCACCGAAAACTAATGTGTACTTTACTCCGGGCCGATTATGTGATCTTCATGCGCCCATTCTGCTCTCACTCAGGACGGATACTTATCTACCGCCCTGGGCGGCAAATTTAGTTGCTACGCCACTGAGATGTAGGAACTTTTTCTGTATTGGCTTGCCCGCTATTCACAATAGCAAACAGCCGCACCAGTGTTCAGAACGGTATAAAAGTTTGGCCCCACTTTCTTTCCTTTACACAGATATCCCAGTTTGCATCCCATAGTACTATTAGACACTGTTCCAGTATGCTTGAATCAAAGACTCACGTGAATATTATAAGTCCAGCTGTGCCCTTAGAGGGATGTCAAAATTGTTGAACAGTTAGTTTCTTTGCGTCATTGCTTCTTTGCAGCGCTGTATCCATGCACATGTTGTGACTAGGTTTTGCTTCAGTCCCCCCTATAGCTTAAGTCATGCTCTCTTTGTGAGTGAAGAGAGTCTTCATGTATTCATCTGCACCGTTATTCCATTGGCGTATCTTGTACCCAAGTCTTAGTCCCAAGTGATCAACTTGTACTATGATGAATCCTGCAATCGCTACAACCGTTATTGCTCCACTTGAGAAATGCAGTTAGTGACGCTTTTAGGGAGAATTTAAACACTTATAAACCTGAGCAAAGACTGCGCAATAGTATTTTGTGTATGCTATAATCTTTTGCGAAGTTACGGCCAACGGACACCTTCAACAGTCTGCGTAAACACGATGCAACAAATAACAGCAGAATGATTTCCTTCACAGCCAAGAGAAGCTTGCTCGAGCAGTGTACGGGAAAGAGTATGGTTGTCACGCAGCAACAGTAGGAATTACTCCCCCGAGTTAATCTAGTTGGCATGTTATCGCAATGCTAGTTAACTCCGTGTGTTCCAGAGTGGATAACGACAATTAACGAATCACCCTATAGTCCGCACGCCCCAGAGCGGTGTGAATTAGTCTTCATCCTGATCACCCATATGTTTCCGATAACACAACAACTTATACCTCACATGTACCTTTTGTCAGTTTTAAATTTATAATTGCTGACTTATGATTCTAAGTTGGCGAAAGCGTGTAGATTGCATTTTGTTTGGTAAACCACACCATCTAAGTAACTTGCTCTACCTTGCCTCCTCTCAGTGGTGGCTTAACAGATTCGGGAAAATTGCTCGGGAAGACATATACATTTATTTGGCAGGTTGGAACGTGGGTGAAGCGAGTGTATTGCGAACATTTGGATACCTTATTATATAAACCAAAAGTCTTAATAAAGCAAAACGGAAAAACCAGAATTGATTCATAGTAGTCCGGAGGTTTCCACCGCTTACCTGTGTTCGTTGTGTACGTTACTAACGTAAATGACTAGTATGTTTTACACATTAGTTGATCCGTGCGGAATCTTGAATTGCATGTAGAGTTCAAGTGTTTGAACGGAGCGTGGCTTTTTATTGGTTAGCACGGTTGGTTTCCATCGCGCAACGTCTTTCCATTCCGCTAGCTAACAACGCCTATCCATGTCATTTCTAAGAAGAGAGCACAGAAACTTCCACTATACCAATAAAACATTCTCTGTATCTATCTGTTATTTTGAACCGCAGTCTGGGCTCCCTCTAAAAGTTCGGTTCCAACACACATATTCGAGAAATATAACCTTGAAATTACGGCTCATCTCTCACCTTAGCTAGCGATGCGTTAGTTCATACATTTTCTTATTATTCATGAAAGTTTGATGGTCGACACTCGCTATTTTGCAATGAGTAACCGCTTTTCATTCGTTGAAACCCATTGTTCAGCCTGTGCCTGTTTCATCAATCGTCTTGGTCAAACGAGAACCACGATAGCCGTGGATGGTGCCTTCTTCCGCTTCAGTTCAACATTCCCAGTTATCCTGGTTGAGACGATAACTCGGCTGATTCCCTACTCATACACCGTGAGTGGGAATACATTTGATGGTTTAGTAAAATTTTCCATTTATTACAGGCCTGACACTTTTGTTTAAAATGTAACGGACACCACCATGCCGCACCATTTAAATGCCGCTCTAAACACTGGTATCCAGTGTTGCATTCGTTCTTCATTGCGACATACTTATAAGTGAGAGAGTTTGAAGTGAATAATTAAGGTTTCTTCTTGCCTGCTTACAAAACAGATAGTCCTTTTTTTACTTTTAGTTCAAGCTGAAGCTTATTGACGACGGAATAGGGAAAGGAGCCGCGGCGATAATCGCAGCACATAAACTGCTGACTCCGGTTCAGCCGCGCTTTACCATCTTCATGTGAATACGCTGACGATGGTGCAGTCGACACCCGGAATCCACTAAGCGAAGTAAAGATCTGTAGTGCTTTATTTTTGTCTCTCATTTTTAATAATCAACTGATCTTAGTAACTGTTTCTTGTGATGTCATAAGTAAAACGGTGGATGGGTGTAAAATTCGATAGTCAACTAGCGAATTTCGCACACGTCTGTTTTCGACACACGCTTGAATGCGGTGAGAAGTGATGAACCCTGCAAAAATGGATCCCCAGTTTCAACTATCAAAGAACAGAAGTCCTGCCCGTTCCGCCCACTTGACATGCGTCGCCACAGGACTGCAAATCAGCGATCTGCACGTATATTCATCGATCGACAAGTGAAACGGCATGAGCTGGCAACCCATCATGTGATGAGTTAGCTTTGAGGTATGCCGTTCGCCCACCGCACGTCAGTGCAAGCTTCAGCGCTATGTTACATATACAGGCAGTCAGTTCACCTCTGCCAGACAAGTCACCACGCGCCACATGACCCTCTGCATTATTTGGTTTTGAGAACTAGATATTGTCCGGTGAAGAACCGATTCTGCTCCTCCAGTTTTCAATCCATTGTTATGAATTACGCTAATAAACCTGAGATACTGCTCTCGTATAGACTATATAACTGTGAACGGGAAGCTAGCGAAGCGATTGCGACTTGTTTGCTAATGGAATCAAAACACGGCTTCATTAATACCCTGGATGTGATTAGGAACCGGTCGCCCAAAATTTAGAGCTCATGCTCAAATCAACCAACTGTTGGAAGGACAGGTTGTGAACAATACCGATTTGGAGGCCCTTAGCAAAGCCAGATGGTCAGGTGAAGGCCTGCATCAATATGTTGAAGCTACTCAGTTACGCAGATTATCTGAAGTACACAGTGACAATTTCCACGGTGGCGAGCCGGTTACCTTATGCTTTGCGGCGGGAGTGCTTCGAAATTGCAACAACTGTTGCGAATGCATCCAAGGATTCCGCCTTCAGTGATTTAAATGAATTAACGCTTAACTTTTATGCTATAGCAGCTACGCAGTCAAGGTTAGATGTAGTTCGTCGCAGTCCGCGCTATATCGCTGTCAGCTGGCCGTCATCCACGTTCGCCGCCGTCATCCATGGCTTAGTGGAACAATCTATTGCATCCGGAAGTCATGTGGTCGGAAGTCGGCAAGGGTCTGAGGAAAGTGCACCATTGACGAGACCCAGAATCTAGAAACCGTCGTCTGGCGCTTTTCCAACCGTATGATAGGCTGCCTAACTCAGAGGGAAGTGCGACGAACTACATCTAGAATAAATCATTACTATCCTGCTAATATTTGGGTGGTGATTTTCCATAGGCATGGCAGCCTCGCTAACGTGAAACGTGCAGAACCGTGTGGAGGCCTTACAGTGAAGTTTTCAGCTGCGACAGAAGCGAGTAATGTGTACGCATGCACATGCATTTAACGAACATCGCTACCAGCGGGGTTCCCATTTAACCAGACGGGAAAGTAATGATCTTCAGGTACATCTCTTATGCTTGCGAAACTCACCTTGTAGTGGACGCTGCTTACTTAACCTGCAATATTTGTACTCTGCCCTTGAAGTTTAGTGGAGTATTTTTGATGACATTCTAACCTTCTGTTTGGGAGAGTTTGAAGATAACTGCTCATTAAGAAATATATTTTCCTCATAGTTGCAGTCTATGACCCAGTGTGACTCGTTGTGCAAAGTTCCTTTCCAAGCAGAGCAACTACTAAAAGTGTTTGACAGAAGACAAACTGTTCGATGACGCTAATTGATGACCAAACTAAAATAGTGCAGCATGACTTTCTTGGGGAATTCATCTTCCAAATTTGATCCATCTAGCGTGCTGGATTAAGCTATAGGAACACTGCGGAACCGATAGCACGCTTGATTGTTTTCTGGATGCTTCAGAGAGGGTTTTAGCGTCGACATGCATGTTAGAGTGAAGGACAAAGTTGTACGAGCATGGTCTTCCATTCTAAGGAGGAAGTCTGGCATTGAGTCAATCAAAGCAGTAACTATCCTGCGTTTGAAGATTGTCTTCGCTGAGCTGACCAGGTGATCGAAGAGATGCGAATGGGAACGCTTCTGGTGTTCTGGATTGAAACGTTAACCGACTTTCGTCTGATTCGATTCACCATAACGTTTTACTAGCTTCGTTGCAAAACATCTATCAATTATACATCCTCTTTCTTCCCTAATGTAATGGTGATGTATTGAGGGTTCAAAAAATCCAGCTGGTATATCCTCTGAATGGATAAGAGCATGTGAAAAGATTGAATAAAATCAACTCAATTCAAGTACTTGCTTTATACATCCTGGGCGGAAGAATATCCATCAGCACACGACCGCAGCAAGAAAAACTAAAACATACAGGAAAGATTACCAGTACATGCCGTTTAGTAGGGGATAAACAGGAGCACCATAATATTTCCAATCGCCTAACTAGTTCTAGAACGAAAGAGTTAGGGCACAGCAAAAAGCGCGATAGGTAACAATAACAATAATAATAAGAATAGGGATATTTCTCATCAAATGAGATACTGTGCTCATATTTGGCACATGTCCTATTTACAGAAAATATCATCCTCACGAATGAGTGATAAACAGTTATGTGATTTTCATTGTCTTTGCTGTTTCAAGGATATGTATTTGCTAACAGTTGCGTTTCAACACAACATGCACTAGTTGGTAAGGGGGTAGTAACAGCACTAAGGATGTATCACACTGTTTGAAATTTCCGTTTCACCCATCCGATGTTATCTGGTTCTTCTTGGAACAAGTCATCAAGTGATCATTTCCGGGAGAGCAGGGACCTACTGGTCTTCAATTCGAGGCAATTGCCGAGCTTAACGCGAAAGGCCGTTGTAGTTTCAGACGATCTGATTGTGACTGGGAGCTTATTCCAGGGGGCAGTCTATCTGATAAGGAGAAGTTGGACCACAGATTTGTCTTGAACCTGTGTAAACTAACGGTAAATTTCTTACTGAGTAACTCCCATGTCGAACTATGCTGTAGTTCTAAGGAAGTCAACTAGTAGTGGGCGTTTTGATGAATCACGTACAGAAATATCATATTATGCCTCAATCTTCGTAGCCAAAGCGGATCGAGCTGGAACTGTTGGCAGTGCTTCCGACAGTTCTTAATGGAAGTTTTGCCTAGCAGAAGTTACGTAAATGACCTTATTAAACTTTCCACAGATGCTATGGCAGATTTCCTGATGCTGCCACAAGTGATACAACAATATTCCAAATGAGGCTTTTGAAGAGTTCTACTCTGGCTGGGGGTATGTGAATCATTTATATCAAATTAGCCACTGAATTTCCTGCTCTGGTCAGGTGGTCTTCAACTTGCTCGGAAAAGTTTAGTTTAAGAATACCTGATTCCGAAGTCGCGAGTAGACAGCTGTACGCAAAGTTATTCATCGTTGAACAACCACGATACATGATGCTAGAGGTTTCCGCCGAGAACTTCATCACCCGAGTGTCACACCATTTCTCAAGGGAGTGAAGGTCTTTTTGTATGAACCGTGCTGTTCAACTCGTTGGAAGTTGTAGACTTTGTAAATGTCATCTGTAAATAGGTAATGCATAATATGTCTAATAACCGCACTGATGTCATCGATGTAGAGCAAGAACAGTAAAGAACCAAGTACACTCCTTTGGATACCGCCCCTAGTGATTGGACGTGGTGAACAGTGTTAGTCGGCTATGGTAACTACCTGAGAACGGCCGATCATGTATGATAATAGCCAGTCTAGGAGTGGATTCCAAAGGAGGCAATATTTTTCAGCAGCCTTTTGTGGGGGCATTTGATCGAATGCCTTTTTCATGTACAGGAACCGAAGTAGGTTTGCGTATCCTGGCTCAATAGATTACAAAACATGGTTTGGATAATGCAATTGGCAGGTTATGCACCATCTTTTGTCCAAGAAACCATGCTGGGATCAGTCGATCAGCTCCAACTAATCGGTGAATTTCATCACACCTTTCTTAAACAGTTTCTCTAATAATCTGGCTAATATAGGGGTGCGATGGATTCGCCGGTAAGTGCCAGTTTTTTCTAATGTCACCATTGTGACGGGAATGACGAGCGACATTTTTCTCTGGTCTGAAAAGTAGCTTGCTTCCGACGAAAAGGTAAACATGTTTAGCAAAAGTAACGGCATGTCAGACCCTCCCAGTTTGATGACGGCTGGAGGGATACCATCGGAATTCAGGTGGGACGACTGTTTGATGAAATTCTTTATATATTGGATAGCACTGATAGAAACTGCAATTTTATTTAGGGCGCCGATTGTCTGCATCGCAATGCATGCATTTAACGGGTCCGTCTCCACGCTCACAGAGTTGGCGAAAAATGAGCTAAACGCTTCACAGATGGCAGCTGGATCACAAAGGGACTGTCCGTCTGCATTAACCAGTCCACTAGTCAAAGAGAAATGGCGATTGGTTCTGCGACGCGGCACTGTAACAAGTTCTTTCGTTTTACATATCGTTCCTAGAGCCATTTGTTCTTCGTGTAGCCTCTTCGTCAACTGTATGTGCTTCACCCTATCAATAATGTTGTACAACTGTAAGAGCAAGGTGAAATTTCCCGTCGTTCTGCATCCAGCAAATAGTCTAGTGCTTCCGGCAGACTGAACGCACGATTGCGTTTTTTTGTACACGAGTAATCCACTTACCTTGGGGAGTAGAGATAGCAATAGTCTGATGGACCTGATGGTAGAAATAGTCCAGGACAAAGCACACTTAGATAGAGGAAAAAAGCACCCCAGTCGGATGATCGACTTAATTGTCGGAATTACTTCCACTTTATCCTATGGGTTGTATATTGTGGAATAAAGGCCTGTTTGCTGGCAAAACCAACGCAGAAATTGATGCGTAGCATCTTATGGTCGCTACCGGGGAGTTTGGATATTAGCTCGCTTTGTGCATTTGTGACCCCAAAAGTGCCCACCAGATCGAACATTATGGTCGCTCTCATTGGTTCAGTAACCCATTGTATCCAGTAACCAATTCTAGGCAAGGAATG